GGCCGGTGTGGCAGCCCGCTCAGCTTTCAGGTACTCTCTTGGCAGCGGCTTTCTGTCCTCATGGCCAGCTTTGTTGGCAGACTCCTCCTGAGCATCTTGCTGCTGACTCTCCGCTGCCAGGCCTCCTTCTGGGCCTCTCACTGTTGGCCTCTGCCATTGGTGCCCCTTCTGGGCTCCTTGTCATCTTCAGCGTTACAGCCATTGATTTGTGTTACAGCTCTCTCAGGAGGTCTCTGTCCTTCCTCTGAAACACCTCTGTGGAGCTGACCACTCATATATGCAAACATCTTGTCAATTTCAAAAGCATGGACCTCCCAGGAGGACCATGAACTGGCCAATCTCCTTGTGGCAGTTAAGTTTGTGTGTCAACTTGGCTGGGCCCGGTTGAGTGACTGGGCAGCTGGATGTGGTATTCCCCATCACGAGACTGGCAATCAACTCCATGGTGGAATCTACTGTGAGCAGCTGCGTAGCTCCCTTAGGGATGTGGTCTGCTTCCTGTACATAAGGAGAAGCCTTGGGGAATGGTCTCTAGCTTATGGCACGCTTGAACCCTCCATGTAGCCAAGCTGTCGTTCAGCAGCCTGCCAAGCTCTGCTGACTTTGGGACTTTCAATGGACCAGAATTAATAGCCTATGTGGTTTGTTAATATCAGGACTGTGCGTTTTTACTTGTCAACCTTGGGGCTTGTCAGCCTCAGCAGCCAGCAGCTGAGTGAAGAAAAGCCTCCAGCTCCAGTGGGCTGGGAGCAGGAAGCAGAGCTGAAGCCCAAGGCTGGGGGGCTTTCACCCCACCCCTAGAGCCTGGAACTTTGAACTCAGACTGAAAGCCTCCAATCTATAAGAGAATAAACTCCTGTTTGTTAAAGCCATCCCATTGGTGGTCTATTCCTGTCAGAGCGGCATTAGGGAACCAGAACCCTCCTTCATGGACTGCAAGTAACTCAATAGTATTGGGTGTATTTTCAAGCCACTATTTGAATAGCAAATCAACCAATCCCTGGAAAGCGTGTAAAATAGACCAGTCGCAGGAAGACTGTGGCCCAACTAATCTTTTCTAGCAGAATTACAAACCCAGAGCCAAAAAAGCCATATAAAAGAGAAACCCATTGCACTGCAGGTAGAAACAGGTAGCGAGCCAAAGCCAGACAAGAAGAATTGAGCTTGTGAAAAAACACTGTTCTAGACCCTACACGAACCCCCAACAGTTCCCAAATAATTAAATGTAATCCACACGCTGGTTGGTGATGTTTAGTCCACGCATAAGGGAACCTGGATGTGCTATTAAATCTTCTCTACAAAAGCACTAAAAGAATCTTCAGAATCAGTTGTTTCTGTAAATCTTCATGCACTGATAATGAGTCTAATGGAATTAATCAAATTTTGTCATTCTGTCAACATTTTATCATTTTGAAACATTTTGAGCAGCAATTGAACTATTTTCTTTGTTAAAGCTCACTGTGCAATGAGCTTCATGGAGACAGCAACTGGATCTCTATTGAAAATATTTCTCATTTCTTGATCGTAGTGAGATGCAGGGCCAGGCGACATTTTGTTCTGTGATACCTAAGGCTGGCGTGAATCAGTCAACTCTACAGCAACCATCCCGGCATTTCCTTTTGGAAGTTAGGGGAGCAACATTTAAAGGAGAATGATTTTCAACAGTGAGGGTTCCAGATGGCAGGCAAAACTGCGAGCTTCAGTATGTGTCAAGTTCATATACATCCTGTGATATTTTTCTAGTTTTGAAGTGTTCTAATACTTCCAGGTTCATATTCACTTTAATTTATTCAAATAAGATCCCTGGCCTTTCAGATTCCATTTTGCATATTTTCTCATACTTTTCTAAGTTTCATATTAATTTTAAGAGCTTCAATTAATATTATTCATATCAGAGTATTCTTTACATATTTTTTGTAGTAAAAATACATACATTTGCCAATTACATATATTATATATACATAATTTATAGATCAATGCTTGCCATGACTGCTAACAGTATTGTATATGCAAAAGGGTTTCTCTTTGTTGTCTGTACCTCCCATGCACCCCTCTATGTCTTCCTCTTCATCAGTGCCAGTGTGTCACTCACATTTGGTACATCAATTCAACATTCTGAGGTGTAAAATTCAGTTATATCAATTACAATAATCATGCAACCATCATCCATAATAGTTGTCAAATTTCCCATCACCATAAACAGAAACTCACTGCTTCCTAAACAACATCCCTCCCATGCCTGGTAACCACTAATAAACACTGGTCTCTATACATTTGCCTGTTCTTGGTTTTGTATGCAGAAGATGGGGCAGTCTACTTCCGTAAAGATTTACTGCCTTGGAAACACAATGGGGGTCACTATGAGTCAGGACCAACTTGATGGCAGTGAGTTGGTTTTGTGTTTCCATGTAACACCATACAATATATGTCTTTTTTGTGACTCACTTATTTCACTCAATAGTGGTTTCATGTTTCATCCGTGTTGTAGCAGGTATCGAGACTGTATGGCTGAGTAATATTTCATTTTATGGACATACCACATTTTGTTTACTCATCACTTGATGGACATTTAGGTTGTATCCATGTGGTGCAGTGAGTTACTCAGTATGGCTCTTCTAGCTGTGGTCTTTGTGACTCTCACCAGACGACTGGGTTGGGCTATGTAAATGTGAGGTGCTTGTGGCCCATGTTAGTAATATAATTAAAGGACATGGCATCTTGGGGTATTGTTGTTGTTATTGTTAGGTGTATCAAGTTGGCTCTGACTCATAGCAACCCTATGTACTACAGGGTCACAGGTCTAGTTGTGTGCCACCCTCACAATCCTTGGTATACCTAAGCCCAGTGTCACAGCCACTTTGTCAATTCCATCTCATTGAGGGGTCTTCCCCTTTTTCGTTGACCCTCCACTTCACCAAGCACGATATCCTTCTTGAAGGCGGGACTGTGGAAATAAAGCGTATAGAACCCTAATGTGGGGATTGGTCGGTTTTGTCACTCCTCTAGGCTTAAAATGAGTCCTCTCAGAGGCAGAAAGGAGGATCTCCCTGCTCCAAAGACTGAAGAGCCAAGAGTGGCGCACATCCTTGGACCTGAGATCCTGGTGCTGAGGCACAGAGACAGCACAGAGATGGCAGCAGAACCGAGAGACTGGCATGAGGCAGAGCAGCAGGCTTGCTGGCCCACGCAACAGGAAGAGCTGAGTGCCTCTGGGCAGGCGTCTTGCTGTGGGTCGAGGTGCCTCTCTGGGCATGGCAGAGCTAAAAGATCTTTGCGACACTTGCCTGAGCAGGGCAGAGGCCAGGCCAAGGACAGAGGGCCAAACAGGGCATGGCTGAGGGGAGGATGTCCTGATCAAATTCTATCCTGAGCAGTCTGGAACCTGAATTCTAACCTGTTATTTCCCTAATAAATTTCATAATTGTGCGTATTGTCTCTAAGTTCTGTGTGGCCATTGCAACGAAATCACTGAACCCAGCAGAGAAGCAGAGTGCTGTGGGAGGGGCAGCTGGTGTCAGAATTGATAAAAAGGTTGGAGGGTGGCAGAATGTCTGTCTTCTTCTGACTGACGTAGCTGCAGGGACTGATGGACCTAAGGTTGGCAGGTAATACAGCAGGCTTCTGGCTTCAGAGGCTGCCAAATCCAGATTGGCAGGTAAAATGGCAGGCTGTTGGTCCAGACTGTGAAGGGTACAATCCCAAGATCGACAGGCAGTACGGCAGGCCACTGGTTGAAGTCCAGAAGATGATGAGCCAGATGCAAGATCCTGCACCAAAAGCCAGAGAGGTTTGCCAGAGCTTCCCCCATACAGGGAGCAGGGCCACACCATGAAGGCCTCTCCTTTTCAGCTGATGGACTGCTCACAGATCTCATCACAGAGGTAACTACATTACATCAGATCTCATTCATCATGGAGTATAACTACATCATAACTGCTAAACCACTGAGAATCACAGCCCAGCCAAGTTGACACACAACCCTAACTATCACATACATAGTCCCCAAATTGTGTATAGCTTGATTCCACCATAAGAAATTATTACAGATTCCACTCAACTTTGAGAACCTAAAGTGCACTGTTAGTTTGTTAGAAGTACCTCAATAATGTGGGATAGATTTGATAGAAGAAAAACAGGATTATGAAAAATGATTAAATTTTATTAAAATATGAGCTCTGAAACATTCTAAATGGTAGCAAAATACTTATCAACGATTAAACATGAATCCCACATATGCACTGCATTCTTTTGATTAACTTCCCCTCCCTCATAATTGCTCTCCTCAGTTTCCAAGAATATGGTAATTTTTTTCATTCATCTTTGACACACAACAACTATTTCCTTTCAAATGACCGAGGGACCACATTTCTCCTTGATTATTCTACCATACAAGCCATCCCTGATAACCTCTTGGACTGCCCCAGTGGAAAGCTCACTCTTGCAATGTGCTGGACTGTTGTGTTTCTTGGTCAGCTGTTAGAGCAATTCTGATAACCCATAGTAGCCCTCTGTTGTACCAACCAACTTGTAGAAAGGGACCCTGGATGTATCAAATATGATGATCAAGATCCAAGTGTTACATCTGTTGTCTTCCCCTCTCCAAAGTCTCATTCACATTTATACAATGTTTTAAAATTCAAAGTCTTTCTTTTTATCAAGGAGCACTGTTACGAATGAACCTTACTTAAAGAATTAGACCCTTTCATCTTACTGATCGCTTCCTGGAGACTATCATAATGGAACAAGAGGTATCTATCATGAAGGCGTGACATAAACACACTTCGCATCTCCGCACCTCCGCCTGACTGACATCAGGAGAAATGTAGCCTGTTACAGAAACGTCAAATAATAAAAACATTTTATAAACGGAATATGATTGGACCCTTCCACAGATGGAGTTGCTCCTCTGACACTCAGCATCTCATAAATGACTTTGACTTGTAATTACTCTTTAGAACTTGACCTCTGAGGCTGCTCAATCTTTAAGTAGCACTAAAGACTCAGTTCCCTCTGGAATGAATCATCTGATGCTTCGTCCACTGTGAGAACTGTGCAAACGATTTACCACACTCACTGCATTTGTGAGGTTTCTCTCCAGTGTGAATTCTCTGGTGAATCCTGAGGTCAGACCGCTGCCTAAAAGCCTTGCTACATACAACACATTTGTATGGTTTCTCTCCACTGTGCATTCTCTCATGATCCCAAAGGTGTGAGCGTTTGATAAAAGCCTTACCACACACATTACACGTGTGTGGCTTCTCTCCAGGGTGTATATTCTGATGTCGAGTGAGGCTTGAGTACTGCTTGAAGGCTTTGCCACATTCTTTACATTGGTAAGGTTTCTCCCCAGTATGAATTCTCTGATGAACAGTAAGACTTGAATTTTGACTGAAGGCCTTGCCACATACATCACATTTATACGGCTTCTCTCCGGTATGGATTCTCCTATGTTGAGTAAGATTTGAACTCCCGGTAAAGGCTTTACCACAGTCACTACATTTGTAAGGCTTCTCTCCAGTATGGATTCGCTCGTGACCCCAAAGGTGTGAACGTGTGGGAAAATCCTTCCCACATTCATTACATTTGTACGGTTTCTCACCAGTGTGGATTCTCTTATGTTGAGTAAGGTTTGAACGCTCGGTAAAAGCTTTGCCACAGTCATTACACTTGAAAGGCTTCTCTCCAGTGTGAATTCTCTCATGACCCCAAAGGTGTGAACGTATGGTAAAATCCTTGCCACACACATTACACTTATATGGCTTCTCTCCGGTATGGATTCTCTGGTGTCTGCTGAGGTTTGACAGCCGGTTAAAGGCTCTGCCACAGTCATTACATTTATATGGTTTCTCTCCTGTGTGAATTCTCTCATGACCCCACAGGTATGAACGTCTGGTAAATTCCTTACCACATTCATTACATCTGTAAGGTTTCTCCCCAGTGTGGATTCTCTTGTGTTGAGTAAGGTTTGAACGATCAGTGAAGGTTTTGCCACACTCATTACATTTGTATGGTCTCTGCTCAGAATGAATTCTCTGATGACTGGTGAGGATTGAGCACTGGCTAAAAGCCTTCCCACACTCATTACATTTGTAAGGTTTTTCTCTACTGTGTATTTTCTGGCGTTGTGTAAGTAATGAAGGATGCATAGTAACCTCCCCATAGTTGCTACAAATACTGGTTTTGTTACTAGGAGGAGTTCTTAGAAGTGATGAAATTGAGGGGTCATTGCTGATAGACTTCAAATCTTGCTTACATTCATCCATTTTTTCCTCAGTTTGAAATCTCTGCATTTCTGCCAAATGGGACTGAAAGCTTAATCCAGTCTTAGTTTGAAAATGTTTCCTATGTTTTCTTCCTATATGTCCTATGTTATATTTTAGTTTTAACAAATTCCTTATATATGAGTTATGTCTGAAATACTGATACGTACTTTTTCTTATAGAAACATTCCATTTCAGTGGTATATTAGTCCAAGATTTTTTAAGTTGTTGGTCTTTTGTATCAGTTAGCTTTTTGTTACGGGTCACAGGCTCTCTTTTGTAATTTCGTTCTTCACATGTCCACCAACTCTCAACTTTACTCTTGTTTTCCGAGACATCAATGATGTAAAAACTGTCAGTACCGTGCCTTTCTTGTTTCTTCATTACCATCATTTGATATAATTGTTCTTTATCAATGTCTTGTTTTGGTGGCAATTCCTTGACCAGCAATCTAGCAGAGATATCTGAAACACACATAAAAACCATGGGATTCCAATTAATTAGTGTTGGAAGGTAAATATTTTATACCGAGAAAAATACAGAAAAAACTAATAATTTTAATGAAGAATTATGAAACTTTTCAACTATGGTCTTTAAAGGTTTAGGAGCACGGGGCAATTACGTGCAGTTTGGGGTGTTTTTCCATAGGTACCCAAAGCACACACCAGCTAACAGGAGACATATGAGTGTCTCATATTTGAAAAGAAATAAATGTTACATTAATACATATTTAATGTATAATTACTGAATACAAAAAAGCTAGGGCACAGCACTACATCATGATAAATAATACACAACAAATTTATCTAAGAACCAAATATGTAAATAGTGACTCTGAATTATAAACAACAGTGGCAGGGGGAAAGTCAGCAAAGTTTAGTAATGCATAGACGGAAGAATAGCAAGGTACTGTTTTAAATAACTTTTACAAAACTACCTATACCCATGAAGAAAAGGCTTCCTGGCAACATGAATAATTGATGTCTTGCTGTTAAACTCCACAAAGGATACTGAAAAATTATCAACTATAATAAAACTACAATAAAAATTAATAAACAAAGTATTTTAGTAATCCATGATCAATACAGTAGGTTAATACTGGAAAAAAACAAACAAACAACTCACTGCTATTGAGTCGATTCCGACTCAAAGTGACTCCTCCTTGGGTTTCTGAGGTGGTATCTCTACAGAAGCAGACTGCCCAGTCTTCCTTCCAAGGAGTAGTGGTGAGTTTGAACCACCAGCCTTCTGGTTAGCAGTCAAATGTCTTAGGCACTATGCCACCAGCTTCCCCTTGGTTAATACTAAGTAACCACGATTTTACAAATTTTTAGTGTGCAGAATTCTAGACAATTCTCTCATAAGGACAAAAGAAAGGACTTCTGATTCTGAAGGAGCTCACTATAAGAACTGGAAGAGATGTTGAGAAGCACACACTGGCAAGTCAGCAGTGGGGAAGGGTGGTATCAGCACGCATGATGGAGTTGGGGTATTCTAAACGTACATCTATGGAAGTAGTAAACAAACTGGCAAACACTATCAGATTCTACTCTATCAGGACTTCGGAAATTAATCAAAGCGTGGTCACGAAAAAGACACCTGAATCTCAGTGGGAAAGCTTTGGGGAGTTTTAACCTACCCTGACCTCATGTCCTGGTCCCTAAGCTCAGTAGCCTTGAAGATGTCAGTCCCCAAAGCTGATACAGGTTTCTTAGACTAGAAGGGACAGAGCCTTGTTCTCAAAGAATTGAGGTTGCTTGTTTTGACCTGCTTGTGGCTCCATGAAAAACTGGATTCAAAAGTGTGTCATGTTGCCTAACTCAGAAATCTGTATAATGGAGGGGGCATTTTTTGTAAACATTTAAAGTGAATGTAGCAGGTGGTCCCAGCTGGGGCAAGAGAAAACAGGTAGGGCAGAGAGACAAATGGAAAAGTCTAGGAATAAGAACTGGGGTGTGAGATGCTTTCAGAAATAATGGTTTTGAAAGTTCTACATAATTCCGTGGAATCTAGAAGATCATGCTTATGTCCAGGTTCAGGGTAAGAAAAGACCTGAGAAGCCCCACTGCCTTCATTGGAGTGACCATCAGGCTCTGTGACAGCAGGAAGGAAAGGCTGCAGTAAACTGCCTGGCTGCGTGTCTGCAGCGTTTCCCGGTGTATACTCAGAGCCAATCTGAAAACAGAGATGTGGGAGTTTTTCTGTTGTTGTTCCAGGTGTTTTAAGTGATCCTGTCAACTCAGTAACTGACTCAATCAACAGACTCCAGTGGCCACACAAGATAAAGAAAACAAACCATACACAACCAGTAAGAAGAAGTCAAAAGCCACATCAACAACAGCAGTCACAACAGTCAACAACAAATCACAAGGAAGGGGCAGAATTTGATTTTCAGAGTTGAAGCAACATCCTTTTAAAAAATAGAAGAATTGATGTCTTTGAATTCTGGCAAAGAATATTCAATTACCACGGACGGCCAGAAGAACGAACAACCTGTCCTGGAGGCACAGCCACAATGCTCTCCACAAATGAGGACAGAAAGACTGCGCCTCCCGCATGCTGGCCGCGTTCTAGGAGGGACCGGTCTCCGGAGAAGGACGCCAGGCCTGTTCAAGCAGAGGGCCAGAGAGGAGGAGGGCCTCAACGCGACGGACGCCCACAGTGGCCGCAACAGTGCCTTGAACAGAGCGAGGGCCATGAGGGTGGCAGGGACCGGGCAGTGTTGCTTTCTGTTGTGCATGGGGTCACTATGAGCTAGAAGTGATTCGATGGCACCTAACGACAGCAACAATATAAAAATGCCAGATTTCAGAAGACTGGTAAGATAACAACACAGTATGCAGCTGTTCTGCTTCCCTCATGCCACTCTGACAGGAATACACCACAAACGGGATGGCCTTACCAAACAGGAGTTTATTCTCACAATTTGGAGGTTTTAAGTCCAAGTCAAAGTGCCAGGCTCCAGGGGCTGGGTGAAAGCCCCTCAACCTTGGGGTCCAGCTCTGCCTCCTGCTCCCGGCCCACTGGAGCTAGAGGCATTTCTTCACTCAGACAGCTGCTGGCTGCTGAGGCTGAGAAGCCCCAAGGTTGACAAGTAAAAAGGCACAGTCCCGATGTTACCAAACCACATGGCAGGCCATTAACTTAAGTCCATTGTAAGTCCCAAGGTCGGCAGAGCATGGCAGGCTGCTGAGCAATGACACGGCTACATGCAGGGTCCAAGCGTGCCACAGGCTAGAGACCATTCCCAAGGCTTCTCCTTATATACAGGAAGCAGACCACATCCCTAAGGCAGCTACTCAGCTGCTTGTGGTAGATCCCACCATGGAGGTGATTGCCAGTCTCCTCATGGGGAATAACTACCACCAGCTGCCCAGCCACTCAACCAGGCCCAGCCAAGCTGACACACAAACCGAACTAGCACAGCAGTCATACATCAAAAAAAGTGAAATGAACAAATTCGACCTGAGGAAGCCCAAGCAATGGACTACTATACAAAAACATTAAATAAGCTGTTTAAAGGATACTCTGAGAAAACCAAAAGGGAGGAACACACTGAGTATTTTTCAGGCTGAAAGAACTCAAGAAAAATCTCAAGCCTTAAGTTGTAATATAGAGGGATTCTATTGGCAAAATACTGAATGATGCAGGAAGCCTCAAAAGGAGGAGCAAGGAATACACAGTCATTGCCCCAAAAGAACGGATCAGCACGCAACCATTTCAGGAGGTAGCATAAGACTAAGACCAAGGGTATTGAAGGAAGAAGTCCAAGCTACCCTGAAGGCACTGGTGATAAGCAAGGCTCCAGGAACTGATGGACTACCAACTGAGATGTTTCAACAAACAGTGCAACACTGGAACCACCCACTCATCTATGTCAAGAAATCTGGAATACAGCTAACATGCCAACTGACTGGAAGACATCCAAATTTGTGTCTGTTCCAAAGTAAGATGTTCCAAGAGAATGCAGAAATTATCATTCCTAAGGCACTTGACTGCTAACCAGAAGGCTGGCGGTTCAAACCCACCAGCCACTCCTTGGAAGGAAGGTTGGGCAATCTACTTCCGTAGTGATACCGCCTCAGAAACCCAAAGGGTCGCTATGAATCAGGTCTGACTTGACGGCACATAACAAGAATAACAACATCATTAGTATCACATAAAGTAGAATCTGGTGAAGATATTAGTTCCTAAAAAACTAGGTGCAGCAGTTTGAAATGGGGATTCTGGTGCTCTGAACAGCCCTTCAGAGTACGCCATACTCAGGGCAGGAGGATTAGAAAGGAGAAAGGGCCAGTGCAATTACCCAGGAGGGGAAAAAATAACAACAGGTGAATCTGCCCTGCGGAGTGCCAACCACCAGGCAAGAAAGGCCATCGGAGACCTCCCTGGGGCAGTGGAGGGGACGCACCACACAAGAGAACCTGCGGCCACTCCACGGATCTACGTCCAGCACCTGCTTTTATTGGTAACTTGGGATCACTGGGAGGGAGCAGAGATTACCCTGGCTCTGGTACCACAGAAGCCTGAGCAAGAGAACATTAATGTTGCAAGCAAGTGGGCCCTGGGAGGAACTCCCGCCGTGGACTGTGGATCAGGGCAGTTACCCTAAGTTAGCTTTTTGGCATGGAGGGGCTGGCACCTGCTTTTATCAACAAACTTGGGACCGCTGGGTACGAGCAGGCATTTTTCTGGCTCCAGCACCACTGAAGCCTGAGCAGAGAGAACATTAACGTCGCAAGTGGGCAGGCCCTGAGAGGAACTCCCATCCCAGATGATGGATCAGGGCAGTTATCCTAGGTCAGCTTTTGGCACATTGGAGGGGCCTGGAGAACAGGATTTTTGCGTGTGTCTGAATCTTGCTAAAAGTGGCAGCCCCCTTACAATTGGTCTTTGCTGAACTTGAGCTGCGGGCCTGTGAATAACAGTGTAACGTCTGAGGTATAGTAAATTACCTGGTATGGCTTTTCCAGCCATAAGTCTTTCTAAACTCCGTAGTGCAATTTGCCATGAGCAACTGAGGAGCTCCTGATTACCCACCTGAGGTATTTCTGATGAGTGGCACAAAGTAATGTTCTAGGAAGTTCTCTCTCTCAGGTGCTTAGAATTCTGATGTTATGATTGGTTAGTTTAGCCACTCTGCCAGGCTCAAAAGGAGGCCTCCTAGAGGCAAGAGAAGTCTTTCTGACTGCTGGCTGTGAAAGATGTGCTGCTGAGAGAAACACGCTCCTGAGAGACATGTGCTGCTGAGAAAGAGACACTGAGAGACACACACTGTTGGGAGAGAGACTGAGAGAGACTGTTGGCTGAGAGACGACGGGCTGAGAGAGACTGAGTGTTGTTCCTGAATTTGAATTGTAGCTTGGTGGTTCCCTATTAAACCCCATAATCTGTGAGTTCTGTGTGGCCACTGCAGCGAATTATTGAACCCAGCAGAAAAGTGGTGGGTGCTGTGGGAGGAATG